ATGGATAAGAGTGGACCAGTATTTCACGTGCATAGCCACAAGGACCCTTCAACGCTATGGCCTTGCCGATGCCGGCGCAGTGACCGTCGCCGAGTGCTCTGTGGCTTTGAGCCGCGACTAGTTATGAAACGTCTTCAACCTCAGCGGCGTCGCGGCCATCCAGGTCGGCCGCGGCCTCGAGCGTATCGTGACCGATGAAAGTCGAAACGGATCACTCCTGGCATGATGGCGACCAGGCCGTCGCGAAGGGGAGACCTGGTGGGGTTTCGAGGCTGGCAGTGTATACCTCGTCGAGCTCCTCGGCCCCGACCGCGGCAAGATGTGTTATCTGCTGTTCATATTTCGGGAGGTGGCTGGGTAGCCGGGGGCTGCTTCGGACATCTTCTGGGGGATGAGCGCAAAGTGGCAGGTGCCAGGGGAGCTAGCGCCGATCCGTCGGAAGCCGGCGCGCGCCCCGACGATTCCAGACATGGCGACGGGAGGCTGTCCACCAGTGAAGAGAGGTCCCGCGAATGTTCCTCGAGCGGCCGACGCCTGCTCGACACCGCGTGGTGGACCTCCCTGACGCACGACAAACAGGCTGTGTTGCTCTCAGATGCGGTCACACTTGGGGAGGTCTGAGAGATTGAGTTCCAACCGGGTCCATGACATCCACTGCCGCAAGCTCTCTCCGCAGAGGTAGGCCAGTACAACCACTGCTTCACCGTGGGTGCAGCACTTCTCGCTAACGCGGAGGTCATCAACGTCGATGAGAGCGGGAATGCCAATGTGGTTCTGGCCCTGGACGAGTTGCACAATTTCATGTTGCATCATCCTGTTCCAGAGAGACAATATGCACGCCTCCGGGTCTATATGGCAGGAACCAACAAGGCCGTGGTCTAACCCGACGCCTACGTACTCGCCCCCGAAGAGTTTCGAGAGCACACCGCAGCCGTGGCCAATCTTATCGCCACTTACGCCAGCACCTCATCACGACCTTCTCATCGCGTCATTGTCTCCGAGGCTGCCTGCCGAGGATGGGCGATCGATGCCTGTGGCGTCAAGAAATGCTTCCACAGAGGCGTCGGCTATCATGGCGGTGGCCACAGGCGAGGACGAGCGCGATGTCAACATCGATCTTCTTTCCTCCGACGCCGTCGCTGTCCCACGTGACAAACGGGTGCGAGGATGTCGACGGCGCGTGAAGTTCTCAGCATGAAGAAACCAGGCGCCGGGTGCGCTGGCGCCCCGAGTTGCCGGTCCATCCGACTCACCAAGAAGACCGATCAAATGTGCCAAGTCATCCCCGCGATGTGTGGCGATGAGTTCAGCAATAATAAGGACAGCGATCTCGTTTTACTGGCCATCAGACACGTCGCCGACATCAAGGTAACGCGACCACTGCAGGAAAAAAGAGCCAAGGTGCGTCAGTGTCAGGAGAATTCGTTTGGTCAGGTAAGTTTAGATATTAGTACAGGAACCTTCGCGTGCTGTGGTTCGCGTCATCCCCCCGCGCGCGACGGTGGATCGGATTTGAGCTCGACCAGATTGAGCGCATCCTGGTCGGCGCTTCTTGGAAGCGCTGAGCTCGTTGGCAAGTTCAACTTTGAGCTGGCCTCAGAGAGCCTTGCCAAGTGGCACCTCGGCCTGCTCACGGCACTAGCGCTTGCATTCATCGCATCAGTCGACCTGCACGTCTACGCGGTCGCACATCAGCGCCGCGCCGCCGCGCCGACATGCGGCCACATGCGGAAGCTCAGCGCGCTCGTGAGATGGGCGCAGGCCAAGGCATTGCGAATCCACTATCCACCTACGCGGCACTTAGGAAAGATCAGGAATATTGTGCCGAGGCGGGACGGGCTCTGCGAAGAGCCGCACTCCTGCGCAAGGGCATCATTGACACGGGCACTCAATGGAACGTGCCGCCTCTTGGAGAGGCAGTGTGTGGCATTCAAAACTTTGACACGAAGTATCTTCACAAGTGAGCTGGTGATTGCGATCAGCTCAACGGAACGCGGCCTCGCTCTAGCTGCCACGCTCCACGAGGCACTCAAGGAGCCCCGAGGTCCTGAAGCAGCACGTTGTCAACGAGTTGGTCAGCAGCCACTCGCGCTGCAAATGCAGCTTCGAGACCCACCCCCCCGACATAACATTCGCTACTGCCGCGTGTGCTTTGGCTCCGCAACCTCCTGAGGTCAGGCCAACTCTGGGCCATAATCTGGGAATATACCCGACATGATCGCGGACGGGCTGACCAAACGCAGCATCGATAGACCTGCGCTCCGCGAAATAGCCGGTGACTCTCCGGCGGTCGCACGCGCGCGCGCTGCATGCTGTCGCGCTCATGCCGGCTGGGAAACTCATTGTTATCAGACCATGAGTGCCAGCCGGCCCCTGGCAATTTACAACTATCGGCGTGTGGATGTAGACTGCTCTGTGCTCCATCTCCTATGAAACCATCAGTCCTTCCTCCTCCTCATCCTCATCCTATTCGGAAGGCTCATTGAATTGCGTGGTGTATGGGGACATGTTGGGCCGCGGCAGCTTAGGAAGGAACATGTTCAGGAAGCGTTACGGCATGCGTGTGGGTGGGCATATGTACGGACGTACGTTACAGGGAAATCGTCATGATAATCAGGGATGCGCGTTGATGATGCCACTGCCGTCTTTCTCAGAAGCAGGCTTGTGCGCCGCCTGGGGCCGCCGTTTGTGGCTCGCGCGCCGACGGGCGCGCGCGCGGGCACCCGGCGCGTTTCGCCGCGCGCTGGCGGCTACCCGCTGGCGCGCGCGCACGTGCCAGCATGCCTCGAAGTGAGCCGCAGACTATGCCCACTGTGTCGCTGTCACCAGCGGCAGAAGGTGACGCCATCAGATGACGTGGCGCTCGCAACGTCCGCGGGTCGATCCGAACCGCGCGCTCGATCTCCGACGCCCCCCACTGGAACTTGGTCAACATTTGGCAACCCAGAGGCAAGGCCGGTCATGGTTCGTCCTCCCGGCATGCCTCCGATGATACCTCCGCCGAGGCAGGAGCAAGTGCGTCAAGCAGTCCAGGAGGAAGGACGTGACCAGCTTACCTCGAAGTCATCTGCCCCTCGAGGTCGCGTTCGGGCTCGAGAGACTCCGCGGCCCCGCTCTCGCCCGCCGCCCCCCCGCAGGCGCTCGACAGATGCCGCGTGCGCGCGGGTGCTGCCTGCCAGCGGCGCCCCCGCGCCGACTCCGCCACGCGCTCCGCCGCTTCCCGACGTTCTGGCCGCGGCGCTCGCGGGAGATTCACGGCTCCTGCATTCAGTATAATCGACGCCGAAGTGGTGGAGCTCATCAATAAGTGGCGCGTCATCGGCCCGATCCCCGAGGTGATGATGCGTAGGAGCTTGTGCTTAGTGCATATCATGGAGCCAGAGTTGCGCGCGGGGTCTACCTGCGAGGCTCGCAGGGCAGTGGGCTGGCTGAATGTCCCGCGGCCGTTGTGCGACAGCGCGCTGCTCGGCATTGGCGTGGTCATGTGCGCCGCCCAGCAACGCGCTGCGTGGCTCTCGTGGGCCGCGCGACAGTGGGCGGAGCGCCGCCGCTCGTGGCCAGGGCTCGGGCGAGACCCTCTCTGGGCCATCGACGAGTCAGCCCAAGGCGCGTCCTCCTCCTAGCGCGGCCCGCTAGGCTCCAAGAGGCCAGCGCGGCCGACGCCGCGGCCATCGCGCTCCCCGACACCTCGCGGTGAGCGCGCGTGCCGCGCACTTTTCCTTGTCGGTGCTTCTCATCAGAGGCTCCGCCCAGGTCCCCATCAGCCCCGGGACCTGCGGATTCGACGAGGACAGCGCTGCTCGCGGCTCGAGCTGGAGACCGAACGTTCCCCAGCCTGCGACGCCGCGCCCGCCCTGGGCGAGGGCGGGGTCCGCGGCGCCCATCGGCTCCCGAGGGCGCGCCGCCATCGTGTCGAACAAAGGCAAGGGGGATGACATGAGCAAGGACAAGAGCAAGAACGAGCCCGCGCCAGAGACCGACGCCGACCTGCCAAAGAAGAAGAAACATAATAGTCATAAGAAGACGATCGCGAATTAGCAGGGCAGGGGGGCGGGTCAAACACTGGCGCGCCAGCGCGGACCCGCGCGCGGCTGCCGCCAGCGAGCCAGGCCAGCCGTCGCCCACGGGCAGTGCCGAGGCCGAGGAGGCGTAGGCCCCCGGCGTGCCCTGCGACGAGGTGGCCTTCGGTCGTGGATGGAGCGGCTCCCGCAACTCGTGGTTTCGGTGAGCCTCGTGGCGATCGTGCCACAGAGTGTGCGCATCCCTCGCGGTCGATCTCCATCCATCGCCTTCTCCCGCCTGCCAGGTTCAAGGCTTCTACGCGCCTCCACCTTGCCCTCCGCGTGGCCCTGGGGCCATCGCTTTGCCTAAGTCTTGGGGCAGGGCTTTCAGACGGCGCGTCTGCGGCCCGAGGTCACGCCACCATCATTCACGCGTGTGAGCTCCTCCAGTGCCGCTCCTAGGAGCACGAGCGAGCAACTCGTCCAAGAGGGCGAGCCCGCGTTCCGCCGCGTCGCGCGCCCCCAGGTCAGACAGCGACGGGGTATCCCTGCTGAGTCTAGATTGCGCTGGGGTTGGACAGTTCTGGTTCCCTTCTCTCTTTGTCTGTCTGCCCCGCCAGAACCGTTCGATCGTCTGCGCAATCCCGGTTCGAATGGGATGCTCTGCCGACGTTCGGCTTCCGCGCCAGCGCGTGCCTGTTGCGCGTTCGGGGAAGTCGATCACGGCTGCCATCATCTTATTGCCGCCGTGCTTTCTTCCGTGCAGCTTCCGGCCTCCGCAATTCTAGTTCATCCTCCTCCGCCTCCTCCTTTTTCTCTTCCTCTTCCTCCTCCTCCTCCACCTCGTCCTCCTCCCTCTCCGCCTCCTCCTCCTCCTCCTCCTCCTCCTCCTCCTCCTCCTCCTTCTCCTCCTCTTCTCTCTCTTACCTATCGTAGCGGTGATGGAACATCGGCCCATCAAAACGATCGCTCGGTCTTCCCGCCGCCAGCGGCGCCGAGGCGCGGCGGCCGCGGCAGCTGGAGGGCACCTGCTCGCCGCCCTGCTGCTCACCACCGCCCCCTTTGGTGCCGCGGTGGCCGCGGTGCTGGCGCTGGTGCGCCTCGCTCTCCGCG